AAAAGGGTGCCATTTAATCTGGCGCTAGTGAGGTGAAAGAAGCAGTAGGTCGGTATTTTAGTTGAGGAGAAGTACATGCTTGAGTATATCAGACATCTTGAGGAGCTGCAAATTGTATATATGATGCCTACGATAAGAGAGAATTCCGGATTGTACTGCTTCAATTCCGAATTCTGGAGGGGGGGCATTGAAAATTTTAGAAACTTGGAGGGGGGCATCGGAAATTTACCAATAATCTCAACAGGGGCCCTGTAAAAATATGAGCTTTTTTTCAAGACATATCCATCTCCCCCCACCCCCCCACCCACCCCCCACCCTTCTCGGCATAATAAATGTAATTTCCCTAAACAGTGATCATGTATATATATTGTAGTATAAACTTGATATATGTACAATAAAGTATTCTAAACCAGAATGCGGTACACCACACACGTCGATTGGACAACTAGTAGCTTAAGAAAAGTTTTCCCGTAATACCATAACGCAATGGCACGTTTTTGACCAAATTTTTTTAAAAAAACATCGAAATCTCTAAACAAGAAGGGCACCTTTGATGTTAATTTAGTATTTACAGAGACATTAGCTTGTACAAAAAGGGCACTTTTCATCACAAAAAGGGACACTTTTCGTCCTTTGAAACAATTTGGGAGGGAGGGCACGCACTCCCTCTGCCCCCCTCTTCCTACGCCCCTGATTCTAAGACCACTTGATCCCGAGATTGAAGGCTTTATGTAGATGAACATTTCGAGTGGAAGATTCATATATATTTAATTTAGACCTATAACCAGCTGCGGAAAATAGAACTATAGCAGGAATCGAACCTACGACCCGCAATTCCGTTGCAGTGCTCTAACCAACTGAGTTATAGAGTTCAGTTGTCGAGCTCCAACCACAAGTTCTTGTTTATATACAGTATATAGTACAGGTGATGCCATTATATAATATGAACAGATTGAAAGATTTATGTAGGATGGAAATTTCAAGCACAAATTTCAAGAAAAATCCCAAGCGCAAATTCAGATTTACAGCGTCATATTCCCAAAAATCTCTATATTTAGCCACAGGTTCGATTCCTGTCAGTTGACAGCATTTTCGCAGCTGCTCCTGTAGTTAAGTCTGTAGTTAAGTCTAAAATTGTATATATCGAATCTTTTGTTATAAATTTCCATCTACTGCATGCAGGATCGCCTGGAGAGAGGCAGAGTGGAACTTTATCTCGGGCGGGGCTCGCAAAACAAGGGATTGACCCTTAAAATTTATTGATGCAAGATTGATGAACTCAGAATATAAATCCCAGTACCCAGATGAATAATACATCTAAAAATCTCAAAAAATTAAGAAAATTGTCGGCAAAAAATAAACGATTTTATGTCCGCAAAATTTTTTCCGGCACCAAATGAACCATTTAATTTGTCCGGCGCCATATGTCGTGAAAATTTTTTGATCAAGATTATACGTATAGAAAAATGTTTAAATTTATTCTGTCTGCATATTTCAGCTTAGCTTAGTCCAGTCTATCCATTAAAACGAAAAAAATACTGTAATTTACAGCATGAGTTCCACATTTGAATTTTACTATACGAGTAAATTGTTAAACGCGTCCGAATTTATCAACATGATAAATGCCAAATTCGCGGCCCTAACCCTTAACCTTAATTTTGTGTTACACAGCTTAATTCGATCATGTTATATATACCCATTATCAGTAACCTTGCCCGCTCATTCAAGTGCTACAGTATGTATATCTATACTGAAAAAAAAATCAATCCAAAAATAAAAAAATACAAAAATAAAAAAATCAAAAAATACAAAAATCAAAAAATACACTAAATCAAAAATCAAAAAATCAAAAAATACAAAAATCAAAAAATCAAAAAACTGTTTTTGTGCTGTCGCGTCTGGGCCACCGTAATTACTTGTATTTTTAATATTGTTTTTATGTGGATTATTGTCGAAAAAATGCGATCCGCACGCCGCTATGCTATTGTTATCATCATTAATTAATGGCTATTAACGGATGTTACGAACATCCCATAACAGTTAAACTTCCATGAAAAGTCAGCATATTAATGGTATTTGAACTGACGACTGATCAGAGTGGTTTCGAAGGAAATGACACTCTCTAGACGCTGCTATTTTGGTCCAATAGTTGGCACGGATTGGCACAGATTATTCATTTGATCGCAGATATATCAATACTGCAGTAGCATTGCTTCCGCCAAATCGACAGGAAGCCCGCATCATCTAATTATAAATGTAAATACTTTTTTCGATATCTCAGTACAGTATATGAATAAAATATAATGTCTGCAATATTAATCTTGACTCTTTTCTGCATGGCTTATTTTTTTATTTTATTGGCTTAACTATAACAATTGTAAATGGAATACGAATGGAAGTTGTGTAAATTGTTAGCTGATTTCTGTTAGCTGGACTCCTTGAACTTTGAGTTTAATATGTAGTTAAGTTAGGGATAACTCCAAAAGTGGAACAGCTCAAAGGAACTTTTTGCATTCAAGGTATGTATATTTATGTTTTCTTCAAATTCTCTAAACTAAAGGTGAAGAACAATCATGTTTTAAGTGAGTTTATTGCAAGTGGTTTTTAGTCACGTAATCGCCAAACAGTGATTTTGCATATTTAATGAACCAAAGTTAACTCTTTCTCAAAGTGTGTGAATTTATTTGCCCAAAATAAATAATACATTTCTGAAAAGGGCAGTTTCGCAATAGTGCTGGTGCAAAATCCCATAAGATTTGAAAGGGTGGCAAATGGAGAAATCTGCCACTTTTTACATGCAATGACAAACATTAAAAATCAGTTCCCGTCGCTCTTTATTGTGCACAAATGTGTTCAGTTGTTCAATTATCATAAAACTACTTTTAATAAACGAGGGAGTGATGTAGCTTTAACAGAAAGTATAATAAGGCTATTTGTATTTAGGGTTTGGATACAAGGATTAAGTAAACATACGCAATTTCGGCCATTTTTCGATTGCGAAAATCGGTCGTCACAGCGGAAACATTTTTTTGCCTTTTTTCATAAACAAAAGAGTATTTTTAAAAACTAACCACATAACGTTTCTCACTTCACCATAGTCAACTTATATTCAAAAGTAGAGCGAATTTAAAATTTTGAGCCTTGCCACATATTTCTCATTTTGTTTGATTTTTGTAGACAGTCGCTCTTAAATCGTTTTCCTCTCGATCTTAAATTTGCTTCTCTATACAACCATTCAATAAGATTTGTAATATTTTCTTCTTTATGTTCTCGAATCATATCACGTCCGAAGTCAGGGTTATCTCTTGACTCCAATTTAGACAGTAATTGTGACATAATAAATGGAGATTCGTTTGAATCTGCTACCGAGCACCCGTTTTCTTCCATATCATTTGCAAAGCCCATAATTTTAGTCGCATAACGTGAAAATAACGCTCCTGGTCATCCGAAGTTGTTCTGGCTCTAGATAAAACCGCCAATACGTGCAAAACAAGGACTCTGAAAACAAGGATGTGGAAATATTTTCATGTGACAATATTACATATACATATTACATATACATATTTATTATGTGACAATATGGATGAGACCGGCGGATGTGAATGAGGAAAATAAGGGCGAAGTTTGGACAAGGATCTATGGATACCCACTGGACAGTTTCCCGAATCCTAAATTCAAGGTTGGGGATCATGTTAGGGTGGAAATTAAGCACAAGACCTTTGAAAAGGGATACGAACCCAATTTTGACAACGAACTATACGTCATTACAGCGGTGTTTCGGGGAGATCCGAAAATGTACAGCCTCAAGGATCCGGAGGATGGGGAGGACATCTTAGGAAGATATTACGGAACAAGAATTATCTTTAGACTTAAATAAAATGGACACCATGGAGATGAACTACTTTAACCGACCGGAAGATGACGAAGGAGCTGAAGGGTGTGATGATGAGGTTGTCATTAGCGATACACCTATTGACGAGGATGACTTTCTTTCCGGACTAGATAGACTAGACGATGCAAAAAACCTCCAGTTTCCGTGAGGAAAACAGAGACGATAAGTACGCAAAGAGGAAAAGGCAGTTAGATGAACTGTACACATATGGAAAATTTGATGACATAAAGATAGAATATATCAGAAGATTCTTCAACCATGAGTATAGTATAGACCCGGTCGATGGACAAAACTCTAAGGAACTTACGTCAACGCAGGCGACAACTTTGTAGAACAAGCGGAAAAAAAACTGGAAAGCGAAGGGAAAATAACCCAACAGGAAAGGAGGAAATTTGCGGGAATAACTGCCCCTAACGGACCTCCCGAAGTTCGGATTAAAGCTCTAAAAAAACAAAAGAAAGATTTTGAAACCAATATAGAACTTGAAACAGATCCCGAAAGACGACAAATCATGCAAGAAGCTAGGTAGGGATGTTGCCGAACGGGGTATTAACGATGCTAGGTTAGAGATGACTGAGATGGGTCAAGTACCCGAATCGGAGGAGGGAAAACACAGGTATAGGGAAATAGTAAGAGAAAACATTCGGACGAAATTCGAAAGATTTTGCAAATGGGCAAAGAAAAACCTGGGTGTATTAACCGCTATCGCTATTTCCATCGCTGGAATAATCACTACGGTCGTAGTGGCCGGAAAGAAGACTACTATGGGAGCATTCAACGGACTTGGGGCTGCCGGAAAAGCACTAGCGAAACTTGCAAAGTCTGCACTACCAATCCTAGTACCTATCCTAAATTTGCTGAGTACGATCCTAAGCTGGGGAGCTAAGGGTCTTGCCTTCCTTGCAAAAAACCTATGAATCGTAGCAATCCTAATTGCTGGAGCTATATTCAAGTACCTACAAAACAGACGAAAAAAAATAAATGTACTATAATAAAACATAATGGACTGAACGACTGAACTTATGCCCAACTTCCGACGCATGAATAGGACGGAAATCACCGGGGATAGGACCAGACATGTCCTAACCTTCAACCCTAACTCTGCCAAACCCGGAAAAGAAATTTACGTCAATATCCCACAGCTAAAAGCCGACTCCGTTCTCGTACCGGATAGTATGGCTTTAGTCTTCGACTTTAAGAACAGCAACACAAAGTCCTGGTTCAGGAATAACCTAGGGAAACTGCTCCAGAAAAGACTAGAAATCCGCATCGCCAGGGAAAAAGTCTACGACAACAACGGAGAAAGCCTATTGGAAGTTTACAAGGACCTATGACTACACAACAAACAGCGTGATGATATGGTAGAGGACGGTATCGCTAGCGAAGCCACGAGGAAAAAAATATCCAAAGACGACGCCGCAAACGACGATGCGGATGCTACCGCATTGTTCGGAGTGTTCGGAACAAAACAGAGGATCCGGATCAACAAAATCCTCAAAGATCACGGGCTCTATGCTGTGAAATTTCGAGCTCACTTAATCATACGAATTTTATCCTGGAGAATGTCGATCTAGAGCCCATTAGATTGTTAAATAATCAAGCTTACCTAACTTAAGATGGCACCCGCATTAAATGGGCTCAAGACTTTTCATCATTACAGAATTTTGTTAAAAACGTCGCTGGACTAAGCGGTGAATGGGAGTCGCCCGGCGGTAGAGCAAAACGATTTAATGACTCGAATCTCGATTTTGTTATGACCTGGGATCTGGGAAAGCGAAACTCTTTGATATTCCACGGTAAAGAAGGCGAATCATTCAAGAAATTTCTGGTGCGTATTTTACAAACAAACTCTACAAGTCAAATAGACGCTATCACGGATGGAGTATTAAATACAACAACCAAAACACCCCTTGAACCTAATCTTTTGTCGGGTGATTTAGACGAAACTGCCAACAATACTAGCACTTATATCAATTCATCTGTATATAATGGTTATTGCTGTGAAAGCAGAATCGATAGTAAGGTTTTGAAGGATATTAAATCGGACGTCGCGGCTTTACAAACACAAATGAACTCTGTCAATGCAATCATAGTCTCCACTAACGCAATTATTGGGCCCATGAGTGCTATTCTGATACCTTCAGGTCCCGAGAGTGGCCGCGTACCTTATGATCTTAGACTGGAAACGTTTCTCCAAGAGTTTTCCGTAATTTTAAAAGAGAAGAACAAGACTATTACAAATCTTCAGGAGAAGTTAATTCAAGTCGAAAACGAACGTGATTTATTGAAATTTGCATCTCAAAATCTGGACAAAAACACACTAGCCAAATCTATAATTAATGAGCCCCTTAAACAAAAAAGCAATCAAAGCAACGGAAATGCTAATTTAGACATAAATATACAAAGTGCCGACTTAAACAAAGAAAACAATAGATCATTGTACATCCCCTTGCCTGTAACACCTCCCAATGGTGTGCTTTTAAAATCAGTAAATAACTTAACTGATAGCATGTCCGATGAGTCGTTCAAGCCAAGAAACCACAACAAGCTTTCCGAAATCCTAATTAATAAGCATCCTAAACAAAGGACAAGCCAAGACGTAGAAAGTATCCAACCCAGTGGTAAATTATCTACACCGAATACAAAAATTAATTTTGTTGACAAACATAATCGTCATAAGATAGCACATGACAAGGCCGAATACGTTCCTTTAGAGAAACGTAAGAAAAATCCTTTTCGGAAACATTATTTCCGATACAAACCACCTCTCCTTCGCCGACCGACCAAAGATTGGCTAAACCACTTAAACCTTGTCCACATAATAACCACGGACAGCCCCCACAAGAACCGGTTTTTGAATAAAAAAAACCTCCACAACGGCCATCACCAGTTCGAATCACGAACAGACTTCCAAAGAAAACGTATCACTTTTCTCCCCCTTGTCGGGGCGGTACGGTATTGAGTGGAAACGTTAACTCTAATAATAGCGGAATGGGGGAATCATCTAGTTTTTGGGAGCTCAATCTTGGCACTTCCAGGAACACCTCATTGTCGCACGAAGCAGATAATATGCTAACCCAAATCTCGTCGTTTTTACCCCCTCAAAACATTGTAAGTGCCATTTCACATAACCAGGAACTTAACAAATACCCGATTCCTACAATCATGAAACCCAGGAAAAACAAACGGCCTGAGTGCATCAGTGTCCCTGATTATAGTTCATTAATCCCCTTGCGGAGATCAGTTACAATTCCACGCTTCCCCAAGATTTGGTTTAGTAATGTTAGGTCGATGGTCAATAAGTTAGACGAGGTCTCAGCATCAATTTCCACCGAATTATACGATGTTGTCGTAATTACTGAAACATGGTTAAATTCACGAGTAACTGATGAACTTATTCGTATACCTGGCTATGTATCGTGCCGAAGGGATAGACCGAATAACCAACGCGGGGGCGGTCTTTGTACCTATTTCAATTCTCAACTTAATTTTACTGAATTAACTGACCTGAGTGAGCCAGAAATTGAGAGTCAATGGTTTCTAATCAGAATGAAACGTTTACCACGAGGAATCAACTCTATTTTATTGGGAACAGTTTACCATCCTCCTCAGAGTGATGACCATGTTCTTCGAATGCATATCTTCAAATGTTTGGATTCTTTACTTGCCACCTATCCTAATTCTGTCATCTTGGTCCTTGGTGATTTCAATCAATTTAAACCAGGTAATCTCTGCAACTCTTTTAGATTGAAGAAACTGGTTACCAAGCCCACCAGGGAAAGTAATATCCTTGACCAAGCTTTTTCAACTCTGTCACCTTACTACGATGCCATCATCCTGCCTCCTATTGGTCAATCCGATCATTCCAGTATCTTACTACAACCTATTTTGATGCTCCAAGTCTACCATCCACACGATTGCAAAAGCGTGATTATCGAGCTCCTAACAAACAAAATTTGATCTCTCGTCTGAATACTGTTAACTGGACGCCACTCATGCGGTTGAATTCATGCGAGGAACGTAACAACTGGATTCTTTCCAGTCGGTAGTTCACGTTACTTTGAATTCCTGTATCCAAATGCGTACTGTGAAACATCATCCTAACGACAAACCATGGATTACTCCTGTTATTAAAGAATCTATTAAGAAACGCCAACAAGCTTGGTTGAATAATGACTTACACCAATATAATGTTTATCGCAATAAAGTGATAAAACTCTGCAAGAGAGCACGCCAAAGATTCTACAATGACAAAATTAATCACATGTATGAGAGTAATCCTAAAAAGTGGTGGGACGGAATCAAGCTGTTGTCTGGACTTTCTAATCCTCCCCCGTTAACAAGCTTAGCCGTAAATGGCACTGTTTTGAAGGACTTCGATCTTGCTGTCGCTATTAACGAATCCTTTTGCAGTGTTGCTGCTGATATACCACAACTAAACTTTACTCCCATACCTGTTTCCAACATTCCTGATGAGTACATTATTATCCGTGATGCCGTTGAACTTGCTTTGGTGGCTGTCCAAGATCGCAAGTCTGTAGGATCTGACGAGATTCCCAATTGGCTCTTGAAAACCTGCGCCACAACTATTAGCATCCCTGTGTGTTCCATGTTTAACTCTTCTATTAGAGAAGGACGTGTCCCCGAGCAGTGGAAATGTCCTCCCGTTGGGGAAGACCGAAGTCTATTGATACGGAGCTTAGACCTATATCTCTAACTGCAGTGTTGAGCAAAATTTTTGAGTCTTTAATTTTGTTTTCAACTGGCTTGGACCTATTGTTATGCCATACATCGACCCTTTCCAGTTTTGTAGTGTGAAAAAGTCTTCAGCCACTCACGCCCTCGTGCATTTAGTCCACTTCTGGCTTACTGCCCTGGAAACGCCTAACACCATTATCCGAACCTGCTTCATCAATTTTTCCAAAGCGTTTGATCGAATTGATCATAACATTCTGATGCGCAAGTTACAGCTTCTCAATGTTCCACCGGTCCTATTAAACTGGTGTTCAAGTTTTCTTCAAGGCAGACAGCAGCGCGTCAAATTAAAATCTTGTAAATCTGATTGGAAAGAAATAAAAGCTGGAGTTCCGCAAGTACCAAACTTGGTCCTCTGTTCTTTCTTATAATGGTCAATGATCTGTCCAATGAATTGCCTTTGTACAAGTATGTTGACGATTGTGCAATCTCTGAAGTCGTTAGAGTATGTGAACCGGATCTACCAAAATTACAGCAAGAACTTGACAACGTGACCCAGTGGTCAAGTGCGAACAACATGAAGTTGAACGTTAAAAAAACTAAAGATTTCACCGTGTCATTTTTATCAATCAACCCTTGGCGCAACCCTTGATTGTCAATAATCAACCCCTGGAGGCTGTTAATACCATCAAGCTCCTGGGGGTAAATTTGACCTCCGATCTTAAGTGGACTACACACATCAGGCACATATCCTCCAAATCAAGCAAACGTCTGTACGCTTTAAGGATATTAAGAAGAAATGGTGTCCAACCGAGTGATCTTAGGACAGCATATTGTAGTTTTATCAGACCTGTCTTGGAATATGCGTGTCCAGTCTGGCATACCTCGTTACCAAAGTTCCTGACTGATGAATTAGAGCATATTCAGAGACGCGCGTTCAAAATTATTGTTCCCCACTTGTCCTACTCCAAAAGCCTCAAAGACCTAAAGTTGCCCACTCTCGAGGAGAGAAGGGAATTGTTATGCAGATCTTTTTACAAAAACAATTATAGTGACACTTCGAGCAAAATTTTTAATCTATTACCTGAACCTTTAGATCATCAGTACAATCTTGGACATTCCCGATCTATCTCGCTTTTTAAAACCCGAACTAAACGCTATAATGATAGTCTTTTGCCATATTGCGTACGCAAATGGAACTCTTTTTAACCTTTTAGGCTTCTATAGATTAATATATCATTTGTAAATTAGCAATCCTACGTTATTGTAATTAGTATTACCAGCGTATCTATAATCTGTATATACGTATTTTGTTCTACTATTTTTAAACTATGTAAACTTGTGTTTTTCAGTTCGATTTTTGAACTGGCGTTCAAGTATTTTAATAAATCTAATCTAATAGAACATGGCAAACGACCTACAATATGTGATCACCCTACCGGAAGCGGATAAAAACATGAGCGCTCAAGGCGGAGAAGCTGTGGAAGGATATACCCTGGAGAATATCGAACTGGAGTATGAGTCCATTGACAACATCGACCTAGCAAGAAAAGCAGAAAACATATATGGAGCTGAACGTGAGCTGTCCTTCGAACATGTTACCCTAATGAAGAAGACAGAATGGAGCAAGGATTCAACTATTATCAACGAAACGATTAACGTACCACGTAGAAGCATGAAAGCCATCGTCATACTATTCACAAACAAGACAAGGACAGACAGTGGGGAATATATCTACCCAAACATTGAAAAGGTTAGGGTAACCGTGGAAGGTGTTCCTAATGCAGTCTATAGCCAAGGTATCCCGAAAACAAGGCTATACGAAGAGGCAAGGCGACTGTTCGGTACTCAGACACTAACCGGCTGTTCGGCCATCAGACACTAACCGGCTTCTTCAAAGACAAAAAGTTCGCCCTGGTTATCGATCTCAGAACCGTAACCGACGCCAACACATACGGAAACGGTGCTAAAATTCAGAACACCCAGTCCGGAATACTGGTGGAAATCACAAAGAAAGCTACAACTGCAAACGTTGTATGTTACATGTTCGTCCTTTCCGATGGTGTTATCAGGATCGCAAACATCCAAATTAGTCGGAGTAAAGTACTAAATTATTTAAGAACTATATTCCATACTCAACAGAGTTTGGAAAATTTTTATGCTTGGTCATCAGTATCAGTCTTCGGTTCTTCTTCAGAAGGTAGTTGTTCAGGTGCACTTCGATAAACATGTTTAACCGTCGTTACCCCACCACTAACAATCCCCAAATAGGGTACGTATGGGGACAGCTTCCCCACCACACTCTTAACATCACTCCTAAACAATTTATCCTGGTTTAACTTCGCCTTCAGCTCCTCCCCACTGTCCATCATGTTGATGGCTTCCATAAGGTTGGAAAATTTTTCAATTAGGGCTTCCGCCAGCACAACGTTTGCCTTTTCCCTCTGTGCAACAATGTAGTCCTTGAGTGTCCTTCCGAACTTTCATGATGACTTTTTCGGACGCTTTCCTGAGGTATTTTTCGGACTGGGTAATTTCCCCTGCATTGGACAGGCGGATAAGCTCTGCCCTATAGTCCTCAATCTCCGCATTTTCTGCAGTTGGTGGTTCTTGTTCCATCCTTTTTATTATAACACCGGAATTTTTACCTCGTGATTAAACGGATGTACCAGGTCCACTTCAAGATGAGCATACTTATTTTCCTTCAGCTTCTCCTTAATAGACCTCATTTCCGCATTGTCAACAAGAAGGTATTCATCCATGATAATCTTCATGTCCTGCCTATTTGGGTTATAGAATGTTACTAATTTCGAAATATTCTGCCTGTACGGTTTAGCAATGGAGGTCAGTTTCAATGGTGGAAATACTCATATGACGTGCGCTAAACCCAAGATCAACCAACTCACATGTGCGGTCCTTCACAGACTTAGTGCTGGCACAATCATCCAAGATGATTAAAGATTCCCTTCCCTTAGTGAAATCCACTACAAATTTAAGGTAATCCTCCACGCCATCCTGCCGACAGTGTCGGCAGGATGGAGGGAATAGCAAAGAAATTGTCGTCCTCATGAATGAAATTCTGATCATAGGTCCTATTCCAGTGATAGGTAGGACAAATCAGGAATATATTTTCAAATTGACGAAAGAACATCGTCTTTAGCTCCTGAATGAGGTAATGCGTCTTCCCACAGGCCGTCATACCTACGATAATCATGTTAAATGGCATTTTATTTTCCGGTTAAATAAAAATGGGATGCCTGTCGCCAAAACCCGAAAACACAAACAGGATAAAGTATGACAAGAACCACCGGTATTGGTATCGAACGAGGAGACATCCGATGAGTGCACATACCCAAATCGGTTACGCTAGCACAACGGTAAAGAAATGTGATAAACAAAATGATGAAAGTACCACGGAAACTGGTGTGGTTGTGCCTGATCAGCTGCCTGCTAATCCCGATAACGGTCGAGGTCCTCCTTATTACCATTACCCTAAGGCTACTACTTCAATTTTAATGTCTGGTGGAACATTAAAATTACTCAATATACTCCCAACCTAATGTCTTAATAAATATCCCATTACACAGGTTGTGCGGAATCTTCCCCTTAGGAATCTTAAGTAAAGGCTCGTCTATATCTCTACGTTAAGTCTTTTACATACCTGATAAGTCAGGATATTGAGATTAGGAAGCCTCTTCCCTCCGGGTTTCTCTTCTTCGCAAATCCTCCTAATATTTTCCGCAACCTCACATGCCCTTCCCCCAAGCAGACCATAAGCCGTTATGTTCTTCCTCTGACAAAAACTATCCAACTTAATGCTTTAATGCTTTAATGCTTTAATGAAATACTCCTAAAACAGTATTATACTACACTAGGAGGAGTTATATATACTGAAAAACTAGATAATATTTATATTTATTTACAAGAAATTAGTCTTCATAATCACTGTATGACACATATATTAGGCGGTGATTATAGAATGATGTTGTTATAATTATGTTATTAACAACAACAATGGCAAAAGCGACAAACGACAATAACAACAACGACAACAAC